TGGGTGAGAGGAGCAATTGATAGGGAGTTGATGGCATGACAGGGGTCTAAGTCACAAGAAGAAGGCAAACTAAAGGGTGTGAAATGTAGGTGGCTTCAGCCCATTTTACACTGAACTAGAAAGTTCTCTGATAGTAGTTGTTATTATTGCACTTCTAATCCATACCAAGAACAACAGGGAATTGAGAAAAGAAGACGCGTAGGCATCAATAATATCAGCTGACACCAATTGGGTGCCGGGTGACTGTGAGGAATCCTGCACTTCTGAGACTGTACCATGATGGATAACACTGTCCTAAATGGGAAAATAGCAGGTAAAACATGTACTGAACCTGCAGTTATTCAAAACAGTATCCTGCTCTGACGACTCAAAATTAACTTTGTTCTCTCGTTGATAAATATGTATTACAGTTCTAGCCTGGGCCACCTGCTGATGCTGGGACAGGATGAGTTACTGCTGTGAGGTAGCTCAGCAGCTTTGCCCAACATAGACAGGCTGGTACTGAGTTACATGTGCCAGAGAGAAGCCCTCAGCAATGAGGACTTCTTCATAGGCTGGTCACAGCCTAAGAGGAGCCAATGGCAGTTAGGACAGCATGAACATGAGGTCCCTTTCAGGCGCTTGTGTTCTTGCTACTCTGCCTCCCTGTTGAAGAAAGACAACAATGTATAGTGTCTTATTCATTGTTGTTAGGACAGCCTGGTTGCTCAGGTAATTTCTCATGTAACATGAATCCTGTGGCTATTTGATTTGTATGTTTAATGCCAATTTCCAGATGTGACATGCAGATAATGCAGACTCCACTGTTTCTGTTTGCATCTCTGGGAAACAAAGTCACCATCACTTGCTGGTCATCATGTTATCATCAGAAATCAGGAAAATCTCCTAAGCTCCTGATCTATAGGGAATCTAGTTTGAAGACAGGGTTCTGTTGATGTTCAGTGGCAGTGAACAGATTTTACATCCAGCAGCATCAGCCTGGACTCCGAAATTGTCGCAACTTACTACTGTTGGCTTTACTGGTGTATCTTTCCCACATTGGTACAAGTCATAGGCCACTCAGAAACACAGGAGTGTGAGGCTGGACTGCTACATCTGATCCTGAGCTACAGCTACATGGGCTGAGAATATTTTTCAAGATTTAGCCTGGCTTTAGAGGACACCATCAGGTTTTAGTAGAAGCAACATCCTAAATCTCTCTTAGTCTTTTTTGCTTCTGTAGCATAGAAACAAGTATTCTGCTTACGATTTCATAAGCACATAGGTTACCATGTATTATGCATCTGGATTATGTCATCAGCTGTGTCCTTACAACAAAATGAAGGCAGTTTAGACATGAAAACTGGAGACTCATCCAACACAAGAATTTAGAATCTACATCATATTCACCAACAATGCTGTATCAGACGGTCAGCCAAGTTGCTGTTCTATGGAAGGAGGACTCAACTTATTTCTTGTAAGTCAAGGCTTACTTGTGGGGGTGGTTGTCTGTGCTTTACACCTGAAGCACCATTTCTAGTAGGAAGCAGGTAACTGCTAGGTACCTGCCCCCCCCCCAGGGGTGGCATGGCAAAGACAGGTACTCCCAGAGTCCTGGGAGGAGTATGTGCTCGCTCTGTCTTGGAAACCTTTTGGTCTTGGATGCTAGTGATGCAGATCAAGGCAGAGTTCTCCAGAGAACCTCGTTGGACAACACCCCACCCCTCCTGGATCCTGAGACCAACTACTTTATGTTTTTTGTGAGTTAACCCAGAATAAATCACTTTATCAGACAGATTCCAAGGAATTTTCTCATTATGTACCTGTCAATGAAAATGTAAAATGACTGCGCCTGTGTTCCTGAAATTTGTCCTTGTGTCCCAATGGGGTGATAGTGGTGATTCCATAGTCCTTACATCCACCCATGCACCTATTTGTAGTTACTGGTTGATATTGCATTCTACTACTTTGATTCTCAAATCACACTAAATGGCTAAAAATTAAGCAAATCTATGGGGAATCTTACTAGAAAGAATATTAGCTAAAAAGTTTTCATAAACCAACAGATTTTAATCTATATAAACAGGCAGCATCTTAGAAATAAAAATTAGCACTTTGTCATCTTTACTATTTGCATACCAAATCATTTACATGTGAAAGAAGAGGCAAGTTTTAAAAATCAACCAGGTAATCAATTTAATTCCTCGTTTTCTGCTCACTATGTTGTTGTAGAATATTATTTTAAGATGTGTTACATTTTTTTATGTAGTGGAACATTTGTTTGAATGATGCAAAGATGTGTTGCATTCTTTTATGTTGGCTTTGTTTAACTCTGTGTAGCTGTGTTACTGTGTCTGCCTAAAACACCTGATTATCTAATAAAGAGGTGAACAGTCAATAGCAAGGCAGGAGAAAGGACAGGTGAGGCTGGCAGGCAGAGAGAATAAATAGAAGGAGAAATCTTGGTGGAGAAGAAAGATCAAGAGAACAAGGAGAGGAGGACATCAGGGGCCAGCCAAATGGGATAATTTAAGTTAAAAAAGCTGGCTAGAAACAAGCCATGCTAAGGTGGGGCATTTATAATTAAGAATAAGCCTCCATGTGTGATTTATTTGGGAGCTGGGTGCCAGGCCCCCACAAAAGAGCACAACAATCAACAACATTTTTGTGTTCCAATGTGGGGCTAGAGTAAAAGAAAATCCAACCCTATGTGACTAAATAAGGATGGTTGGCTTGTTTTTAAAAGTCTACTGTCAAGTCTCCTTATTACCAGTCCTTCCAATATTGTATTTCCCCATACCATGTTTTCTATAATATCCTCAATTCACAGCCCTGCTATATTACATGGAAGTCTTACACATCTTCATAAAGCTTCATGAGCTAATAGAGTAGGAGCTGGAAAATCACCAGTGTTCTATATCAGAGGTCAATGAGAATCAAGACCACATCATCAGATTTCCTGAAAATGTCTGGAAAAAGCAGTATGGGGATCTATGTAGTGAGCACTAAGAATTTCCTCCTCCTCCTCCTCCTCCTCCTCCTCCTCCTCCTCCTCCTCCTCCTCCTCCTCCCCCTTCTCCTCTCCTTCGTCTTCATCTACAACTTCATCTTCTGCCATTTTTACTATGTTAATCCTATCTACCCATGAGCATGGTAGATCTTTCCATTTTTCTGATATCTTCTTCAATGTCTTTCTTCAGAGACTTATAACACAAGTCTTTCACTTGCTTAGTTAAAGTTACCTCAAGGTATTTTATATTATTTGTGGCTATTGTAAAGGGTGATGCTTCTCTAATTTATTTCTCAGGCCATTTATCATTTGTATATAGGAGGGCTACTGATTTTTTTGAGTTAATCTTGTATCCTGCCACATTGCTGAAGGTGTTTATCAGCTGTAGGAGTTCCCTGGTAGAATTTTTTGGGTCATTAATGTATACTATCATACCATCTGCAAATAGTGAAAGTTTTCCTTCTTCCTTTTCAATTTGTATACACTTGATCTCTTTTTGTTATCTTATTGCTCTAGCTGGAACTTCAAATACTATATTGAATAAATATGGGGAAAGTGGACAGCCTTGTCTTGTTTCTGATTTTAGTGGAATCACTTTGAGTATCTCTCCATTCAATCTGATGTTGGATGTTGGCTTGGATGTTGGCTTGCTGTAAATTGCCTTTATTATGTTTAGGTATGTTCCTTGTATTCTTTATCTCTCTGAGACTTTTATCATGAAGGGATGTTGGATTTTGTCAAGGGCTTTTGCAGTGTCTAATGAAATGATAATGTTGTGTTTTTCATTCAGTTTGTTTATATGGTGTATTATGTTGACCGATTTTTGTATGATGAACTGGCTTACCCCAGTGATCAGATTGGTGAATACACTAACTGTCATCATAGAGCCTTTCTCCACTAACAGATGGAAGCAGATGCAGAAAGCCACAGCCAAACACCAGACCAAGCTCCAAGAGTCCAGTTGAAGAGAGAGAGGAGGGATGCTATGAGCAAGGGCATCAAGATCATGATGGCAAAACCTGTAGAGATGACAAAACCAAAGTAGTGGGAACTCGTGAAATTGGCATTAACAGTTGTGGAGCCTGCATAGGACTGGGCTAGGTCCTCTGTACAACAAGACAGTTACGTAGCTCGATCTGCTTAAGGGTTCCCCTGGCAGTAGGAGTAGAATCCATCCCTGGTGCATGAGCAGGCTTTTTGGAGCCCACTACCTATAATAGGACACCTCACACAGCCTTGAGGCAGAGGGAAGGGATTGGACTTGCCTCTGCTAAATGTACCTCCTCATGGGAGGCCTTACCTTCTTGTAGGAGGGAATGGGGGGGTGTTGGGAGAGGGAGGCTAGAGGAGCTGGAGGAAGAGGGATATGTAAAAATGAATAAATATTTTTCTTAATAAAAATAAAAAAGATAGAGAAAGATGTATTTTTGTCCAAGTTTTCAGAGGTTTCAGGATGTAATAGGAGGGAAGGCGTTTAGAGTAACTCTGCTAATGCCATGCTGGGTGTAAAAGCAAGAGCTGGAGTTGAACTAGCTAATGATATCATATACCAATTTCTGCCTCCTCCCATTGAACTACTTCCTCCAGGTTGGGCACATATAACTAATGTCTTTAGTTCCTACCATAATATTATCTAAAGCTTGTTAGACAGTATTTAAAATGCAAGCTTTAGTACACATTGCAGCATCAAAACATAGCACATCACAAGCCACACAGATGTATCCATCCAGAAAATGGTTTCCTGAATTAAAATAATCTTTCATGGGGTCTCATTAGAGGGAGATTTTGCTGTGTGCATTGCAAGGCAAGCATAGCCAGGATTGCTCAAACATAAAAGAGACTGCTCTTAATTAAATGTGAGATATTTTTCATATCTGTGCTCTTGAACCTAAGAGGAGGAAAGTTAGAAGCAGAGGGGACCCACTGACAGTCCTCAGTCCTCCCAATGACCTTCAAAACTCATCAGAACTGAAAACAAAATAATGAGAGGAGCAGGCACTAGGGGGAGCTATTAGCTGAGCTCAGTCTTACTCCCTGCACCATAGGGAGGTTTATGTTATGACTTGTATCACTGTGTCAACAGCTCTGATGCTGTAGACAGTAATAAGTGGCAATGTCTTCAGGCTGCAGACTGCTGATGGTGAGAGTAAAATCTGTCCCAGATCCACTGCCACTGAATCTTGATGGGACTCCTGTTTGCAGACTGGATGCCTTATAGATTAATAGTTTAGGAGCATTCCCTGGTTTCTGCTGGTACCAAGCTAACCAACTATTAATGTTTTGACCAGCATGGCAGGTGATGGTGACTCTGTCTCCAAGAGATGCAGACAGAATTGTTGGAGATTGTGTCATCTGGATATTACATCTCACACCTGAGGTTGGAAACAAAACAATGATACAGTGTTAACCATATTGTAAGTTAACTTCCATGAAAAGCCAGGCAGCTTCACAAAACTGGCTACACAATTCTCCCTTTTTGTCTCCATTACCTGAAAAAGAGAGCAGCAGCAGCCCTAGGAGCTTAGGAAGCATCTTCATGTCCATGCTGTATCCTCACTGAGAATGACTTCTGAACATGGTGGGGACAACCACTGAATAACTTCTCAGAGCAGTGGGCGTGCTCTGGCCACATGCAAATCAGCAGGGATGTACAGGGCTGAGGTTAGTTGCAGGATTGCCTGGACTCATCTAAGGGACTCAGCATAAGCACTAGAGTCCCCAGGTTTCAAGACAGAGGCATAGAATAGATTTGCCTTCAGACAGCAAGTTCTTTACTATGGGTCAAAGAACAATATCAGCATAGGAATTTGTAAGGGCTTTGTTGTTTTTATCACTCCCTTTTACCCTATGTTTTTCTGTCATATATTCACATTAAGGGTAGTAACTGATCTGAGATATTTCCAGAAATTTAAAGAAGCTTTATCTATCCATTAAGTTGTTTTTTAAAATACAAATCTATAAACTTTATCATAAAAATTTTGCAGATAAATAACTATAATACACCAAAATTAACCACAACAAAGTCAGTACAACTCAATGACCTTTTATACATTAAGAATAGAAGCTGTGGATATTCACATTAGATTTTATGCTTTCAAATGTCTTTTATGAACTTTTCCATCAAGAAAATTCAAAATATACATGACAGAATTAGAAAAATAAACAACTTTATACCCTCTTTCATGACTTGTATCTATTTCATTTATTTCATTTTTGATTGTTGATGTCATTGATCACAAAATGATCATTGCCCTGATACTCTGAAGATCTTGAAATAAGCATGACGAATATTTAAAATCCTTGCTGAGTCATCTCCTCCTAAGCAACCTCCTATTCCTTCATCCATCAGTGCTCTGCCAAGCTAATTTCATCAAAGCTGTCCAATATCAGGAATCTTCTCAGTTCCCTGAGCTCCCTTCTTAGCTTGGTTTGCATTGTACATATTTAGTGGTATACTTTAGATATCTCAGGATATTATCCCTACCTTTCTGTCCTCTCTTTACATAATCCACCATTTTCAAAACTGGAGATCCCCATTAAAAATGCTCATTTCACTCTTCTTTGGTCTATGTTCTCTATCATATGCTACTATTACCAACTCTGCCCCAGATCCAAGAACAGCATACTTTTCCATGGCTGTGTTTAAGTCAGTGGAAATCAAGTAAGGAGAAGGGATAAATATATAGGAATGAATGTGAAGGATGTACATTCTGGAGCTGTGTCCAGAGTATAGTCACTATGATGTTCCAACCCAAGTGTTATGATATTGAATGTTAAAGGTAGATGACCAAGACATTTGACATGAGGACAGGATTCATATGAATGAGGGTCCCAGGAAAGGAGCATTCTTAGTGTAATAAGCAACCAAAGCCCATCTCTTTCTATGTTTACACCCTATGTTTGTCACTCAGAGATAAATTTTATTTAAAACTGCAGATCTTTTCATACCCCAGAACTGAATAACTATCATGATTTGGGACATCTATATTCTACTTTCCTTTCTGACATTTAGTAATGTTTTGCATTATTTATTAATATAGAGCATGATTAGCTGTATAACACATCAAGAATTCTACAAATACTGGAAGTGAGTAGACATACTGTTGGATCTGTCTAGAATCTCAAGGGTCATTTCTTATAAAGAAGGAAGATGAGTAAGCACACGTTGCCTGCTCTACGCTGCACTCCCTGGCAACATGTTAGTGATGGTATAGTGGAACATGCCTGGAGATGTGAGGTAGAAGGCCATGGTTTTAACCAGTTCTACACACGTTCTATGTTAAGTGTGTGTAGCTACTGCTCAATGCATGACCCTACGTAAATGGTACATGTTGTATTCCTCACTATTAGGGTGAGAAGATCCCAAGCACACCTGGACATCAGCCTCTTTATCCATCTTCAGGACAGTGTCTGTTACCTCCTAAGATAATTTCCATGTCATGTATAGAGAAAGAATATAAAATCTGGATAAAATGAGGATCTACAATTGAATACTTTGATTCTAATGTTTCTGTTTGTTCCTTAGTGTCTTGACCAATTTAACAGTAAGAGTAACAAGCTGTGCCTTCATCAAGCGCACTGTGTAGCCTGGTGACTCCAGGGTCTCACTGACAATTGACCATGATGGTCATACTGGTGTTGCAACTAATGTGTGGAACTCAACTATGATTGTCTGGGGGCCAGACAATCAATATGTTTTTATTTCAATTGTCCTCTGTAGATCAGATTTCAGGTGCATGCACATCCAACCCCATCACCTCACTCAGCTGGAATAACCCAAAAGCATTTTAAATGACAATTCTAGCCATTCTCTTTGGAAGTTTACAAGCTAAAGAGACTTTAAATCCATTTTTCATTCCTCCTCACTTTGTCCCTTATCTCCCAGGAATTTTGCACCTTCTCATTACGATGTTTTCAAGGAAATATTTATATTTGAAGGACTCAGAGTAATGCAACAGATAAAGACGCATACTTCATGGGTGTGTTTAATTTGATAGTATCTGATATATTTAACAAAGAAATAATTATAAAGCTGTATGATAACTGACTTATGTCTTAACTTTTTATGTAAATGTTACATTTTTCTTGTGTTCATTCCCTTTGCCTTTTTAGTGAAGTTTGCCAAGAAGCCAAAACCTCACATTTCTACCGCATTAATAAAATTATTATTTTTTACAGTGATGTTTTTAACAGTTACACATTCACTCATAATTAGTCATACTCATTATAGTATGAAATAGAAAACTGTTTGATCAAACTTTTAAAATTGTATTTTAGGGGCACACATTTCTTTGTAAACACATATACACAGCTCTCAATTTCTTATGATACTACTTAAAGTGGTTCTACAGAACTTTTCTTTATTGTCTTCTGAAAGTTTACATGCTCAATAGAAACCTTATTTCAAATTGTAAATGTCCATCCTTGCTGCTGAGCAGTGGCAGCAATCCATAGCTGAAAACTGTGGTACATTACAGGATACTCTATATAATGAGCTGCATGAGATATTCTGCAATGTTTTGCTGTGGGATGTTCTGTATGTTACATGTGTTGCTCTGATTGGGTAATAAATAAAACACTGATTGGCCAGTAGCCAGGCAGGAAGTATAGCCGGGACAAAGAGAAGATAATTGGGGGAAGTGGAAGGCAGAGGCGGGGAGACCTGCCAGCTGCCGCCATGACAAGCAAGATGTAAGGTAAGTCACGAGCCACATGGCAACTTATAAATTAATAGAAATGGGTTAATTTAAGATAAAAAAGTAGATAACAAAAAGCCTGCCACAGCCATACAGTTTATAAGTAATATAAGCGTCTGAGTGATTATTTTATACGTGAGTTGTAGGGCTTGGTGGGACCTGGCGAGAAGCTCGATATGTGTGTCAAGTGAATTCTTGACTTATGCTATTTCTGATCTACATTATTTTACATGATGTATTCCCATTGTAAGATACAGTATCTGTGAAACATTAACCATCTTCCGGCAAGGGGCAATACTAACACACATTTGTTCAGTCAATATCACCATATTTAGTGCTGAAAAGCACTGTAACACTGTGAATAAGACAAATAGGTTCACCTGTGCCCTCACCAGCAGGGTTGACACTACTATGCTGCCAAGTTGAGGAGTAGGACTTGCTCCTCTGAATGCTGTAGGCAGCAAGAGTTGAGGAGAGGCAAGTTTTGGTCATCTCTTCCCTGACCACATTGCATGACAGATGAGAAATGGGGCTAGCTCTCTCACATTTATGCCCTCAGGGTCAGCTCACCTGCATCATCACCAACAGGATCAACTTTACTGAGCTGCCCATATGAGATGCAAGACCTACATTTCTGAATGCTCCAGCCAGTGAGAGGCTAGGTCAGCTTACCAGTTCTGACTCAGAGCCAGCTCTCCCATATGCTACAGGTGGTGAGAGGTAGGGGAGGGGAGGACATCTCCCCCTTGTTCACACAACTATATAGCAGATGAGGGTTAGGACCAGATCACTTATGTTAACATCCTTGTGGCCAGCTTACCCCATCTGTCAATAGGGTCAGCTCCACTGTGCTGTCTAGGAAAGGTTCTTGGCCTGTTCTTACTACCACTGCAGTTGAGCTATGAGTTGGCCCATCCCATCATCTACCCCATCTATGATCTCCTGGCACATGTGAAAAGGCTGGTCCTTTAGAAGCCAAGTTACAGAATCTCCATGACACAGGACAGCAACAGGATATCCAAGAGGAGCCTAAGTGAGGGCCCAGTATTGATGATGCAGCAAAGACCAGAGACCTTAAACCAAGTCAATGACTTAATACAGTCAACACTTGTAAGTAACAATATATGGGCTAAAGGACTGTGTGACTCACTGTGTCACACTATAGCTTCTACAATGAGATCTTTCTTTCCTCTTTCCTCTTAAATTTTATCTTGTTTTATCAAGGGAAGGGATGCATTTACAGGGGTAGAGGGCAGGTGGGAAGGGGTGGGGAGAAGGTATGGGATTGAGATGCATAGTTTGAAATCCACAAAGCATCAGTAAAAAGTTAAATTTGGAGAGAGAGAGAGAGAGAGAGAGAGAGAGAGAGAGAGAGAGAGAGAGAGTTCCCCAGGCTCTTGATCTACTTAGCCTCCAGAAATGCCTCAATGCATCTGACTGCTACTATGGCCTAAGCACATTTCATTGACACAGCCACCGGAAGCTAATGACCAAGAAAATTCACAGTCTTCATAGTGAGAGAAAAGTTGCTCCCAGATGCTCACACCTGTTTATAAAAACAACCCTGGCTCAGGAGGATCAGAAGCTCAAGACCCTCCTAAAATCATCATGAGGCAGAATATTAGGTTCATGATAGATGCTACAAAATCAATATTTATGTTTCTTTTTAGAAATGAGTTTTTCTCAGCATGTGACTTCTGTGGTAATATCTCTGAAAATAACTGAGTGTCAGATAATCCACTGGCATACTGTTATTTTTTAATTTTATTTTATAATTTAATTTAATTTTACATATCAGCCACTGATTCCCTTGTTCTCACCCTCCCGGGCCCCCCCCCACCTTCCCCC